TTTACTACTTAATCATGTTCTTGCTTTAGCTTACCACAGAGTTGTATGCTCTGCGGCTTACAAAATGTTAAGATGGAATACAGTCTGCAAGTTGACACGAAGAGTAAACATACACACAGATTAGACGTCATAACTGAATGGAGATGCATAAATGCCATGTAAAAACATCCTGGTAGATAAAATCATTTCAACTGAAATCTAGAAAACTTCCTGAGAGAGAGCTATGTAGTTCAGAATGTGGAAGCATGTTTGCCAATCGAAACTCTCCATACACCTGCATAGGCTCTTTTCCAACTTGGTATTAAGGAGAAGATTAAAAATAATTTAAGAAAAATAAAAAAAATACTTGTAAGTTGCTTTCAATTTCTTCTTGCCTTTTTTTTTTTTTTTTTTTGGCAATTTCTCACACACTGTCTTCAGTGCCAGCACTTGTCATTCATACAGTGCCAGCAATGGGTAATGTGCTGGGAAAAATCCTGGTGCAAAAAGGTTTAGTGTAATTTATGATCGAAATTATAGAAATAATTAGTAAAGCTTTCAGTTCTTTTCAGAGGTTAGTGTAATTCAGTGTATGACTTTGAGCTCTTAGTGTTAAATATGTCAATATATAGAAGGTATAAAGAACTTCAATACTGTTGTTTCCATATTGTCTTTTTAAAAGCAGCAATTGTAGTGACATTGATTTTATTTAAAAATATATAATGCTTGAACTTAAACTGAGGTTGTGCCTCTTGCTTCTGAGCATAATTTTCACATCACAGAATTTCATCCTGTTAATTCCATTAAAAATGACTCAGAAACTTGCTTCAGCTTCTTCTAGCCACGCATCACTTCTACCTGGGCAGTAAATGAGGATAAAATATTCCATGTAGAATGCCTTCTATAACTACATTTGGAAAGTCATCTGAAAAAGAAAAAAAGAAAAACCTTGCTTTCTTATCTTATGTCAGTACAATATAAATGTTTTTGTGAAACTTAACTAGGCAAGGCCTCGCATAATTTGGGTTACTGCATCACTCATCTGTTTATCCGTGTTGGGGATGTGTTATTAGTAATGCTGTTTCAGCACTAAAGCCACTTCAGTGTAGCACTGCGCATTGCATGAATGCGCTGCCAGATTTGTAGCTTATTGATTTAAAGGGATGTTCTAATACTTAATGCTGCTAGGCTCCAGCTCTTTATCTGAATCTTTTCTCACAAGGAAGATGGATTGCACTGGCAATTCAATTTCTAACAAAATCTCAATATACTTGAAGAAATTCCAAGATTGCTACTGGGAATACTTCAAAGCTGTTTTTCCAGTGTGGTTTACAGCAGTGTTTAGACTGAGAAGACTTGAGGATGCCTGTACGATCAGAGATGATTATTTGAGGCAGGAAAATTTCAGGCTGTCAAATCAACATAAAATGTGTCACGTGTTACAAAAAGTCATCCTATAATATTGGAAAGAAAAAATCCCACTATGTTCTTACCACAGGTGTAGAGGAAACTGGCAGTTCACTTTCGTGTTAAATTTAGCATGAAAGAATTACCTGATAGAACACAGTAATAGATCTGCACAGAGGAATGGCAGCATGTACATTACTGAAGTGAAATTATTTTTCAAATGCACCAAGTCCTGCGTTTTTAATGAAAGGTTTACTTTAAACACTGGGCATTAAGAGTAAGAATTTCTGACCACATCTTACGATGTTAAAATTGCTAGTACAGTAGGAAATGGATTTGCCTAGAAGAACAGACTATTTTCTGATACAGAACTTTCCTCTGTATTCTGTACAGAATCTTTCCTTCACCCGTCAGCCTACAGGACATTCAAAAAGGGGAGATGCAACTTTTATAAAAATCATTAGGTATTTGATAAATTAGATTGCCTAATGTGGGTGGGAATTAGGTTTTGCCCCTAATGGTTTTGCTAAAACCATTTTGGAGGTAAAAATATTGAGCAAAAAGTAGATTTGGAATCAGTATGGAAAAAAAAAGCCTTATTAGTGTAAAGGTGTTATCTCATAGGTATTAATAAGGTGATTCCACTGTATGAAAGATGTTGCAAACAGATATTTTAAGCTATTTTAATGAACTGCAACTTCCCCCATAAACAATACATGCATAATTCTCCCCAGCTTCTCATAGTAAGTCATGATTATAAATTACTTGTTAATATTTTGAGTCCAATAATGATTCCTCAAGTCCTGCAAGCTCAGCTATCCCAAATCACCCTGGTAGAATACCCTATGCTGTTGTCATTAATGTTATTAAAAATACACTTGTAAGGGCAATCTGATGCTTTCCTTCTGAATTAAATGCTGCAGTTCCAGAAACCAATTTTTACTGGTTCTTCTATAACATACAGTATATATAGGAAAATGAGTATTGATTAAAAAGATGATACAACTTTACAGCATTAGATTTACTGTGAGGCTTTGTTGCTTAAAAAAACCCCCAAAACCACAAGCATATTAATTTAAGTTAAATGTATAAATACACCGAAGCACAGTCTTGCAGATCTGTGATACTTACATGGCTTAAAGAATCATTAGAACAATTTTCAAACAAGTAAGTCTGAGATTCCATTTTTTCACTTTTGAGGTACCATTCTCAATTCGCAGCATTTTAGATTTTTCCTTCATTTTTCTTCAAAATAATAGTATGTAATTTTTTTTTTCACCCCCTCAAAAAGAAGCGTCCACCTTACACAAAAAGTGATGTGCTCATGCACTCAAGACTGTGTTAGATACATCATGAAAAAGAGAGTCTGAAAATCAATGAGGTTTTTAACAGTGAATCTCATTTTTGGAAAGTTGTCTTGCAACTCAGCAATGCTTAAAGTCCAGTCATTAGAATAATGGCAAGACTGTATTTTATAAAGACAAGTAACAGTGCAGTGAGGGAAAAAAAAAAGTTCTTTTGAGTATTATGTTTCAGAAAGAACTATCTATTTCATTAAAACCCCCAAAATACACAAGTTCCTATTCTATGGGAAGACAACTTCCTATTTTATGGGAAGAGGTTAACGCAGGCATTCCTGTATCCAGGACAGACTAACTCCACTTCTGATCCAAACAACTGTCAAAGTTCACCTTCTTCCAAGAGTACATACAATGGTAGTTATTTGCTAATGGACACTCACTTTTGGTCATAGTTTGAACAACCTTGGCTGCTTTTTACAGAGGAATCCAAGTCTATCATCAAAGTAAGAACTGATCTGAGAGAAAAATTTTAGAAAGCTCATCTATATTTTCTCTGTGCTGGAAGCTAAAAACAAAGAAGAAGAATTAAAGGCAGTGGTAGTTCTGAAAAACTTTGTTTCTTTCTAACTAGACTTGAGTCAACTACCAGAGCCTCTAGACTTATGATTTGTTTTTCATCTTTTCTAAACTACAACTCACAATCTAATTTGTGTTTTAATTCATTAAGTTAAAAAATAACTTGCAAATGAATTTGATGTTTTAGGGTCTTCAAATACAAAGAATATTCACCTGCCATATGAAATTCTAAATATTGTGTGTCATGGCCAAAACATCCCTTGGCAAAAGCCTGAAAAGTCCTTTGTTTCAGATGTCATTAATGAGGCCTACTTAATATTTAAACATGTCATGCGTTAGAAGAGGCTTTTATCTTAATCCAAATAAAGCACTACTTAAAAGAGTAGTTACAAAATTTATTGTAAAGTTCCTAATGATTTCAAAAAAAGGAAGCTTAGCCTTACTTGGAGTACACATTAGGGAAGGAAGATAAATACCATCACAGAACTGCCAAATCCTGAAGAGACGTCTTACAGCAAAACCTTACATGTGGGCTGGAAACATGAAGTACTGTCTTCATTTTTCAGGATAAGTCTATATGAAATCCATTTTCTCTCTCAGGAATGGTATGGAATTAAATGATGTTCATAATTTAGACTCTGCCCTGGAGGAATCCAAGTTTGCAATTAAGAGGAGCATTAAACAGTAAGATTAAGACTTGTCATGTGGCTCACTCTAAATATTAGTATAGGTGGCATCTGGACCAACTTTTGGACAGCGGTAACTCTGGGGTACTTCTGTGTTATTGTTGTCACTTGGGTCTGGAGTGACCTTGTAAAGCGACCATCTCCCCTTACTCTGCTTCTGTTCGTCAATTTTGTGATTTGCACTCCAGCCTGAAATGGGCATTCTGTCCATGTGACCAGACTAGTGCTAAGTCAAAGTAAAAACTAAACGACCATGTAGTGTGTCTTCTAATGTGGATTTTGGTCACACAGGACCTCTGCACTCACTGTTTCACTCTGGAACTACAACTTTAAGTTCAGTAAGACTCCATAGCATCAATACTGTTAAGCCATGCTACTAGCTATAGTGAACATTGCCTGCAAGAAAGACTATTTAACCCTCTCAAAATACATCAGCCTAGTCTCTATGGTTTTGAAAAACAGCTTGAAGAAAACAACAGAATCACAGAATGGTTGCACTGGAACAGACTGGTGGTCATCTGGCCCAAGCCGCTGCTCAAGCAGGGACACCCACAGCCAGTTGCCCAGGACCACGTCCAGATGGCTTCTGCATACCTCCAAGGATGGAGACTCCACCACCATTCTGGGCAACCTGCACCAGGGCTTGGTTACCCTAACAGGGACAAAGTGTTTGTTCCTGATATTCTTGTCCTGCCACTGGGCACCACTAAAAAAAGCCTGGCTTTGTCTTCTTTACACCCTCCCTTCAGTTATTTATATACATCTTGAGAAAATCTCAAGGAAGTACACTTCATTGGCTAAGAAACTACAAGCAAACAAGTCTTCTTTCCTAAATTTACTCTTAAAAATTTAATGATTTTCAAGGCACCTCAAGAACTTGACTCTTGATTTCAACACAGCTTTTGTAAAATCAAACAAAATGCCACATTAAGTAAAAGTATCTTCATTTGCAGCTCTGAGAGAAAATTTTCCCCTGAAAGCATATTACAATTTTAATACAAAATTTACTAGAAGTAACAGTTCAAACAAGTAAAATGACAAAACCAGGAGGAACACACTACTAAAAATGGTATTGTTTTTTCCTGCACACATTTAATTTAAGACAGAGGATAAGTTCTCTGAATTAATAATGCAAAGAAATTTTTATTAAAAAAAAAAAGGGTTTATAACAAGCTATTTCAAACACTCTTGAACTATGTATTAAGAGATGAAGGCTAACATAAATGTCCTGTGAAACACATCAATTATACTTGAAGTATACATTCTGTGTTTCCCCCCCCCCCCTCCCAAGAGCTCTAGAGGTTATAAACAGTAAGAAATAGTAATAATCCAAATAGAAATACAAACATGCTCACAGCAGATTGACTGGTGTTTAGCAAAAAAGCACTTACAAAGGACTAGGCCTGTAAGTTCAAATCCTTCAGGCAAAACAGCCCAAAGGGTCAACAACAAGAAAAGCAAAGCCATGTTCTTCCTCTTTTGATCTGAATTCTCAGTAGGTTTGTGTGAAAGAACAATTGAGGGAGAAAATTCCACCATTTTATAAATCATCCACCCCACTTAGTGTTTTAATGGTTTCTTACACAACAACTATCATTTTATTGGTAGGTTATTAGATTTTGGACCAGTGTCATTTGACTAGGCTGGTATTAATAATAATGTAGTTTATGCTGTGCAGGGTCAGATCAGTAAAGTGCTGTTAGCAGATGACAGGTTTGATTACCGTTGGCTTTAGGCAAGACATACGGATCCCTTAGGAACAGCAGCACAGGCTGGTGGGACAGTTTGCTGGAAAGGTCAAGAACAGGGATGTCAGTATCGAGGGACAGCAACCACAATATTCTACAAACTAGCTTTGATAAAGTGAGGTGGTCAAGCCACGCAGGAGCCATGCTGGTGTGTTTCTGCGCACGGTGCTGCCAAAAAAGGGCAGGCTCTATCTACTGGGAGCAAAGCTCACAGCTCCTCAGCCACACAGTGAAACTGTCAACGTGAAGTTGGAGGTGAAGTGGCTGCATCCAGGAGGGGCGACTTGCAGCCAGCTTTGAGATCTCCTGACTCTGCTCTGCTAAATCTTCTTGCTACAAAAAATACACTTCAATGGGTAAAAAACGTTCCCAGAAATATCTCAGAGTTAGCAGTATTCTATTAGGATTTTGTAAGCAATTTCTCAATACAAGCATAAGGATGCTCAATTCACACTACAAATGGATGCATCTAGCACAGCTGATGAAACTAGCCATAATATTTAACAAACCCATCTAATTTTAATGCTAAACTACTGCTATTTTTTCAGCTGCAAGGAACAGATACAGTAAATGCCAATAAATTTAAGTAGTTTATTAATCTAATGTCCTAGAAAGAGGAGGAATCAAGCTCACCTTGATTCTTCAGATTCTGTTTCATCAAAAGAGCTGCAAGTGAAGTGAGAGGAAACTTTGGTTACAACAAAATTAACTCTACAATAAAAAAAACCCAAACAACAAAATCCTTTAAGAACCATCAAAGGGAATAGTTTTTTCTGGTCAGTAGCTGCATAGTGCAGTGTGATGAAATGAATGTGGGACATAGTACCATTTTACAACCGCTACTTGGAAATGACAGCATCCATTTTACTGTAACAGATTGATAAGCATATCTAGAAGCATTGGGGTACAGTCCCACTGACAGTATTGGGTGATGTAATTAACTACAAGTGAAAACTAAAACTGCTAGCTTCTGAATCACTGTGGAGACCACCCTGGTCCATAGACTCCTCCAAGTGCAAGAGGGCCCCAAAATCATCTCCACTTCTTTCAACATGCCTTCTCTCCACTGCAGATCCACACAGCCTCCCCCAAAGTGGAAAAGGGCCACGGTGCTTTCTGATGAGCAAGTTCTGGTAATGCTGCTGGACTATCAACTATGTCAGGTGGCAGAGCAAAAGAAATTATTTGCTTTACAAAGCTTAGAGCTGCAGATGGTAACAGAACTTTCAGTTACACTGTTTTGGGTATTTCTGTAGTCATTACACTCATCATACTAGGAGTCCCTTCTGCCACCTGATCAAGAACCCTTCCCAGGGGAAAGGCAATGGGGCCATTGGGGTCAGTGTCATCAGAAAGGTGAAAGACCCCATTTTCAAACGCACATAATATGATCACAGAATGAACTTCTATTTTGTGCAGATACTATGACCATAAAACACACGCAAAGGTTTTCTGTGCAACTTTAATGAGTGTTTATGAATATCTTACATTTCCGTAGATACTTCAAGATCTATGAGAAAATCGTATTTTTCTCATCTAAACTCTCCTTTGCTTTCCAAGAATATTACATTAAACATCACTTCTGTCTTTGAACATGCTGGATTTATTTTACCACGTTCTGTGGGTATATAAAAGTACTCAACATGAACCTAATGCCCATTTATTTTACAGTGTTAGAGTTGGCAGGAAGACCATTTTAAGTCAATGGAATTGCATCAGCACCGAGTGGATATGGGCCTTTTGGCCTACATGTATTTTTTAGTAAATGAGAGCTTACCCACAGCTTTCTGCTTTTGGCAAGGTAGGTACATGGCGAACGTTCAGGAAATCAAGAAATATTTTAGGGAGCTCTTCATTTTCTAAAATGACTGTCTGTAAAGAAAGAAAAAGGCACAATAGAAACCAAAGATTTTTTAGTATTATAGATATTGCACACTTTTATTCAAGCTACCAAAACATTTCCCACTTGCAACACTTTTCAATTCTTCTCCATTTTTTTATACCTATTTTGGAGTACTTAATTGCAATAGGAAAACCACAGTTCTTAATGAATCACATATAAATACATTCTTTTTCACCTGCCATCACTGGTGCCAAACTATATGCCTCGCAACCAGAGATGTCTGATTCTAGAACTAAGTTATTGGTACACTCCTTTGTGAATAAAATTCTGTTCATTTAAAACATAAAATAAAGCAGCTACAGCTCAGTGCTTTCACGTTCACCTCACAGAAGACTCCTGTGTGGCACATCAGTGGAGAAAGGAAGTCTCCACTTTGTGCAATTTTATTAATGCAGGCCTTGGTAAATGCTAACAAGGGAAACTCTTTGCTTGGCTTGACAAATCATCTTACAATGTACTCCTTGTATCTGCACTGTGCCTCCTTATGAAAAAGCTCTGACCAAAGAGCTGCAGGCTAGACCTGCCACATTCTTCCACAGCAATGACATAATGGCCAGACTGAATCCTCCTTTGTTTTTCCATTGATGAGATGATTTACAATTTTCAGTAAAATAATTACAAGTACACTTAAAAATATGTAGCAAATAAATGAGATGCTTAGGTGCATGTTCGTCATGAAAGAATGACTTTTAAAGGGAACAATCAATCTCTGACAGTTTCATAGACGCAGACCAAAAATAATCGTTGATCTTTAATTTTCAAGAGGCAAACAAAACAGTTCATAAATTCAACCAGCGTCTCACCTAAAAGATTAAGCCCCTATCTATTTACTGTTTGTACTGCCATACATTGTGATAACACATGTAATTCACATGCTTTCATTAAAGCCACAAGCTCTTCCTTAAAGAGCTTTCCTTCTTAAAGGCCTGATCTGGAGTGAACGTATGCATGGAAGAAACTTCACTAGATTTATAAATAAAACAACATGTACAAGCAAAGCTATCCACGTTCACTCTGTTCATTTTCACACCCTATGTTAGAAGAAACAAACCTAGAGAAGAAACAAGAACGGTGATGGGAAGAAACATTACTCTGCTTATGTTCAAGAGGTACCTTACTCCTGCGTATGTATTCTTTTACATTACAGTATAACTAAGGACATGCAATGGTATACAGAGGATAACAGGATCACAAAAAAAATTAGGTTGGAAGAGACATCTAGAGGTCATCTAGATTTTATAGCTGGTTTTATAGCAAATGGTTTGGTTATTACACTAACCTAGATAGTGTAAAAATTACATAAAATGTGCATAGATTTAAAAGAGAGAAACACATTTGAAAACAAAAGATATTTGAGGACTAGTTCCTTTTTCTGTTACATTTGCAAATCTGAATTGAGAGTCTACATTTCTTCAACAGCTGAGGTCATTACTAACAAGTTTCAGAAAAGAACAGGGAAAAATGCAGCTTTTGAACTTTTCTGTTCTAGATTTTAATGGATGTAACAAACAGGGAGGTCTGAAATGTTGGCAAGTGTTAAGCCTTTCAGTTCACCTCTATATGAAGATGCTGCATTAAAAAATGCCACTTCATTTGCATTCTGCAAAATCAGCACTCTGCTGCTGCAAAATTTATCCTGTTCTGCATTCAGGTTGTGCAGAGAAGGAGGGATGGATGTGGATGCATATTCAGAGGGTGTGAGAATTGCATAACAATGCGTATGATTTGCTCAAATAAAACTATCTTACTAATTATATGCAATGAAGAACTGCAAAAAGTTGTATAAAGATGTTTAAGGGCATCCAGTGCCTACATGCAACCTCTTATTTGCACCTCCTGAAGCTTTTTCTAAAAGTTGAGCTGCCTGCTGAGGCTGTTGAATAGAACAGTGATTGTCAGGGAAGAAGAGACAAATACATCACTGTATAAAAGGAAAGCTCCCGACACCTCTTACAAACCTATTTGTTTCTACTTCTACTCACTCCAGATTAATATCTCATTCCATTTATTTTATTTTTTTTCATGACATGCATCAAGTCAACCCAAGCCCTGCTAACCCTGTCCTGACCAAATATATTTCACAAAAAGATAGGAGCAAATTGCATCTGTTTTAGTGTGTTAATCCATACAGTTTGTTAACTGTCAATAACTCTGCTTTGGTGATCAATAAACTTGAAAATGTAGAATTTTCAGAGATGCAAAGGCAATTTTGCACTGTACTGTATTTTGGATGCTGCCTCTGTTGATTGTGAACTTTCTTGTTTCCAGAATTTTATGAAGGGAGGTATGACTGCATTGAACAAATGTAATGTAATGTCACTTGCATTTTAAGGAATTAAAAAATAAATGAAGGTACAAGTTAATTATACTAATAAGGGGGCAACTTACCTTCTGGCTTGACTTCATTGGCTTCAATACAAAAAAGGGCCACCACATAATACAGCTGTTTAATATACATAGTAGAAACGAAAGGAAAAGAGAAAAAAACCTGGGAACAACAAAAAAAACAAACCAAACAACCCCAAGAAACCAAAAAAACGCAGCCACACTGGATTAGGTGTGTCTCTCTAGCTGCATTCCCTACCTCTGGTGGTGGCCCAAAGTGGAAGTCCAGAGAAAAATGTAAGCATTCTCAACTTCCTATTAAAGTTGTCCCCAAAAAATACTCTTAAATCAGAAATAAATGTTTTCATAATTGGCTTAATTTACCTGGAACAACCCGTAACACAACAGATTTTTTACTTCTGATGGAAAACTTCTATGAAACACATATTTTGCAAACTTGATGATCTTTAAATAATAGCTGAGCAGAAAAGGAAACAATAGGTAAAGTCTCTATACCACTACCTATAATTTGTGATGTAACGTACTCAACTGTAGCCTTTATTCAAGTGAATATATGACATTGGCTTCTAAACACAACTACTACCTTGTTTGCTCTGCAATCAGAAACTTAAAGATATACGTTTTCAAAGAAATAAAAACTCGCAATTAGTTTGTTAGTAATGTGAATTTCTAACGCATCCAAATTCCACCAAGATCATAGCAATGAGTTTCAAATATGGGGCCCAGAGTGTTAAACAGATGATTTTAAGAAAAAAACCAGCATGTGTATTTCCTTCCTAAGATAAAGAAACACCCCACCCCACCCCACCCCCCCCAACTAAAACACCTAACACAACCTCTGGCAAGTGATTTGGGAAGTGACTCCAGAAATACATTTTTCAAACTCATTGATTTCTGCTGAACTAAGAGTATAAGCGCCATATTTTCTTGGAAAATCGTAAAGGGTGTTTATCTGTTACTGTCACACTTTAATGAACTACTCCATGCTTCAGGAAAAAAAATACACACAAGGGAAAGCCTGATGTTTACATCAGCAGAAATGTCTTTTTCATCAAAAGAGTGCAATTATTTTTATGTAACACAAATCACAAAAATCCCAATTTTTCTACCTTATCAGTTTCATAAAATCATGTTCCCTAAGGATGTAATTGATTAGTTGCACATGTTCTTTCAGTGACATCTGAAATACTTAATTGTCGGTTATCTTTTCTCCTTCAGCAAGTAAAATAGAGTCACAAAATTGCAAAGGGACTTGTTCTGCCTTAACCTTAGCTAGATGCCATCATGCAGTGGAAAACAGTGCTAAAATATCACAGGATAATGCTCTCCAACAAGGGAGACATATAAACAGCATAATGATTTCCCACGAGTTTCCTTTTTAGAAAATTGTCACTAAAGCCAGGGTAAATGGTGACACATCTTCGCAGAGGACACTGTGAAATCGAACACTGGCATTCTAGTTAGGTCCAAACCTACTCATCAGCCAATTATAACAGTAACTGAACATCTTGCTGAAAACCTGAACAAGACCACTTTGCTAACCTTAGGAGATGATGCCACAGGAATGCATCATTTTCAAAGATTATTATTATTATTGCTGTTGTTTTTAATGAAAAAATATTTTAAATCAATTTCTTACAATCATCTATCATACTTTCTCAAGATTGCTGGAACAACTGTTGGAGGGGGAGAAATGAGAGTGGGGAGCTAAGTTACAAGGTTTTTACGAGTCCTTACAGACTTTTCCATTCAATTGAGTTTAGTTTGAAATGCTGTACTGTTAGGGTGAAAAAGTTCATGACAGTTTTTCCTCTCTTCACAGGGAAAGATGCTTCACAATACCTAATTCAGTGGTGCAGCTAGAATGGGGGAGAAGAAAATCAATACATTCTAGCTACAGTAAGTAGGCTGGAGTGTCAGTCTCCACTGGGACGAAAACACGCATCTTTTAGAACAGTTTAGAGTCTATATTCTTCTATTAACCTGCTTTTCCTGAACTGCTTTACACAGTCCCATGAAATGATAAAAAGGTTACCAAAAGAGCACATTAACTAAAAACCAAGTAGATGAAGGAACCAGACTTCTAAGAGCAAGCCTTCCTTTTTTTTTTAAAAGTAATACCAGATACAATAATGTTTTATATTACCCATTGTGAAGAACTATGAAGAAACTCACTCCCTTCTTCAGTGAGTATGCTGTTATAGGTTATCAACAATAATTATTTCTAAATAAATTGTCACTTAAGCTGTCATAGTAAGCACTCTCCACTTTTCATTACTACCAGAAATATTCACTGATGGGCAGTTTTGTAAGATCAGGAGGAGGTTACCAAACACATTTAAAACTCTGTGTAATGCAAACACACATACGACACAGAAGTGATGCTCCATATGAAGTACAAGCTAGCTAACACTCCCAGGCTGCATATCAAAGGGAAGTCAACAGTGAGAGAAGCCATCTACACAGTGGAGCTTGAAAGGGAACAAGATATTGACTGTAGGTATTATATGCCAAAATACTTCCAACAAAGATCTGTAAGTTACTATCTGAAAATTAATGTAAAGTCACAAAAGTAAAAAAAGAAAAAAAAGTGCAGAGGAGAATTGCACCTCTGAACTTCAAG